TTGTACGGTAAATGTGGTATAATTTTATATATTACCTAACTGTGTTTTATAAAATTATCATCGCGGTGAAACTGAGTAAACCGTAATAACAGATTTAAAGGCGGGGCTTCTGAGATTCTCGTTTTAGTGATCAATTCAATCACGTACATAGACAAACTGAAAACTGACAAATAGGTAGATCACTGCTTGGAGTATGGTACTCACAGAACACTAATACCCTCACTCCATAGATTATTGTTCAACTTTCAAGCCGCCATGCGCCATGCCTACTTTTATCTCACTCACTCTTACACAAATTACCGTAGACAGAGAATCCTATAGACACCGCCATAGCGTGTCGCAGAAAGAGACAAAAAAAATACGTCACTATATTTAGGGTTACAAGTGTGAGGAAAAATTTACCCCACAACTAGCTATAAAATTAGAAATTAGTACGTGAAGTAAGCCTGAAAGGGAACACTGCTAATAACGATTATCATTGGTATGTATTGTAGTTGATGGAGAGCTAAGTGGACTGTATTTGACTAATTATTTATTATAATTTACTTTGGTGAAGAAAGAAGAAACTAAAAAATTGTGATATCTATCTGACTAATAAACTTAAAGAAACTATTGTGTAAATGAATGAGAGCTAAGTGGACTGTATTTATTTAGGTTGTGTTTAAATCTTGAAGAAAGAAAATACTGAACTAACTGTTACCAGCCCTCTGTCACTCTTGCTACCTGCGAGAAATAATTACCTAAAATCGCGATTTGGGTGAATTGGATGTAATACGGAGTCGGGGCTAACGCGTTGTAGCGATTGATGTATTTTTAACGCTGTTTACATAAATAGTTTTTTGTAAACACTTGTAATTTTTTTTAGCGTTTAGTATTTAATTGTAAGATAAAATAGTTCAAAAAAATTTGTGTGATTTAAAAATAATATATGTGTATGGCAAAACTTCGAACCTACTATAATTGTTGCGTAGATGGATGCATAATTAGCAAACAAAAGGATTCAGATATATCATTTTTTAACTTACCTAAGGATAATGAAAGGTATATTAATTTCATTTTTTTGTCAAATAAATAATTATTGCAAAAAGAATTAAGTAATAATTTAAATACAGAAGTAATACCCAAGTACTTTATTACAAAACTTAGTTGAAATTTACGTAGATAACGTATGAAATTTACTTAGGTAAATTGAAGTAGGCAACTTACATGTCTTTTGTAATTAAAATATTTTAAGTTATCACAAAACACTGAAATTAAAACTTTGTTCACAAGATTTTTAACTAATTAGAATACAATCACATTTCATTTAGGAATCGTATTTCAGGTTCATTTGTTGTTTACACTACCTACATTTCTTTCGACGATTTTTAAACGATAACGTGACCTTGCACGTTACATGCGTTAGGCACAGAATTCGAAGTACCAAAAATATGTTCATTCGATCAGTCAAAAAACCTTACCTATTTTACTTACCATTTCGCAACGTATGAATGAATCTCTTTACTGCATACAAAATATAAATTTATGTACAATTAGGTGACCTCATGTGACGGATTGACCGACATAGCCCAACGGATTAGTAAGCTGAAGTGACAATGGGCCGGCCATATAGCTCCAAGAACCAATAACCGATGGGGAAGAAAGGTTCTCGAGTGGCAGCCTCGTACCGGTAGGCGTAGTGTAGGGCGACCCCCCACTAGATGGAGTGACGACCTGGTAAGATATGCAGGAAGTCGATGGATGCAGGTGGCTCAGAACCGTGCTTTGTGGCATTACTTGGGGGAGGCCTATGTTCAGCAGTGGACTTGTGAAGGGCTGTAATTATGATGATGATGAAGGTGACCTCATCGCTTAACGGTGATCTCTTTCAGGCCGGGATTCCCGGATTTTTCAGAAATAATAGAACAACTATTAGACATAAACACTATAGTCCGTTCGCGTTAAGAAAATAGTGAGGCATCAGTGCAACTACAGAGTAAAGGTGTATTCACAGTGGAGTAAAAATTCTTTTTTTTTTCAAACTTTTAATTAAGTTTAATGGAAATAAATTTTCTTAAAATTACTTAAACCACTAATCGTAATCGCTAGATTCTCCAGTTACATTAATTATGAAAGAATTTTGTCCTGCAAGTTCCACGATGTCATCCAAATTCCACATGGTATTTTCTTCGCGTATCACATAGTCGCAGCACTTCTTCCAACGATTAGCGTCTATTAATGCTATTGCGTCATCTAATAATTTTTTTATGTCACTCATTTTGAACGTGGAGTTATTGGCACCAACATAATTTTTTATTTGGGCCCAAACCAATTCAATGGGATTAAGTTTGCAATGGTAAGGCGGTAGGCAAAGAATTGTAATGCCATTACTTTTGGCAGTCTCATCTATTAAATATTTATATCGTGGGGCGATTTCGGCAACTTTTATTAATAATTCTTTTTTTAAATAAGTCATGTCCATGGATTTGCCTGATTTGCTCTCCACAGTCGCATTTAAATCACACAGTTTAAAGTACTTATAAACATTGTAAATTACGCGTCTTTTCACTTTTATTCTTTCGAATAGGTGAGGTATTTATTTTCAAAATTTAATGTTGAACGAGTAACACGCAAAATACACAACCGTTTTGTTCGAAGGCCTGACTTCAACTGGTTACTGTGAACTCGACTTTCTAATTTCTTGCATTCTAATTGGCTGGGGGGCGTGGCCAGGCTGGCGGACAACGATGACTCACTATTTTCTCAACGCGAACGGACTATAGTTTCTCATTCCTCATAAGTGTGATTATTACACTTAACGCATGTGTACTTTGACATTCGTTTTATTTTGGATGGACAAATTATGTAATATTTATACAACTTTCTACAGCAAAGACCAATCTTCTTGTAAAAGGAATTCTGAAATTCTTTTTTTATAAAATAATACCCATCTTTATCTCTTCAACATTTTGTCTTTCATAAATATATAAAAGCATAATAATGAGGTATATTATGAGCACCTAATAATTCACACCAGACCCCTGTACACCCGTAATGCATTAGAAGCTGATGCCCTGACATTTGTTTTTCCTTTGGTACTCGTCCAGCAGTAATTATTTAGCCTCTTAGTGTAGTAAGTAGTGGAGTAATCATGGGATTTGGCGGGGTGGACGATAACTCCAAAGAAATGGAAGATGACTCCATTTGCTCAAAGAATAAAGACGCCAAAGTAAAGGACTATCTATAAAACGCAATAGATTCACCACCTCATATTCAGTGTCACTCTGAACATCATCTTCTATAACGATGCATTGTGTGATTCTCTTTGACACTCAATTTTAGCTGAATCGGGATATCTACTCACCTCTATACACTTTTGTGGCGTCATTGTGTCTTATAACGTATAATCTATAAGTATTAAAACAATATTTTTGTAATAATTATAAAATTTAAAAAAAAACATATTACGAAAATATTAAAAGCAACACCGCTTAATACTAACACAAAAGTTAACCGTAATTGCGAGAATAGCGCACTTACCATAAGGCTACTTGTCTTTCCTGCAGCCTCTGTGGGTCCACTGAGTTGGCTAAAAATGCAAGGGTAGAGATGTGTACCATTTTTGAATAAGATTATACTTTTTTAATCTTATACGTCGGTTCGACGTATAAGATTAATTTAAGTTCTGTTTAAAATGAGGCATTGATCTTACCTCCTATTGGTGACAACGCAACGTAGACATTTTGATTTTGATTCGAGGACAGATGATATAGGTGAGGTCTTAGGTGTCTATGGGCCACAACATCCACTTTTTTATTACATATACTTAGGATTTATTAAATGCAAACTATGGATAGTTGATGAGTCGTGGTAGCTCAGATGGATAGCGCTCGCTGTAAATTTCACAGTACGCGTACAAACCGGGTTCGATCCCCGCCGGCACCAATGAAATTGTTAATTGCATTTTAAGTGCTGATTTACCACGTGCTCGGCGGTGAAGGAAAACATCGTGAGGAAACCTGCATGTCTGAGAAATAAGAAAAAAAAATTCGTAGACATGTGAAGTTCGCCAACACGCATTGGGGCAGCGTGGCGGACACTTCCTTGCCCTAATACCCTCTCAGAAATGAGAGGAGGCCTGTGCCCAGCAGTGGGACGTATAAAGGCTGTCACTTTACTATTTTTATGGATAGCCAGCAAAGTGTAAATATTTACTACGTTTTAGTAGCCAGTCACTGATCTCTATATATACACTTGTATATATATAGAGATCAGTGTAGCCAGTATACTTGTACCTACCATAGGTTTGACCATAAAATATACTGGCGTAGGTTTGACTAAAACGAATCCTATAGACACCGGCATAGCGTGTCGCAGAAAGAGACAAAAAAATACGTCACTATATTTAGGGTTACAAGTTCTCTTTCTACGTAATGAATATATACATACTGGTAGCGTAGCGTAGGTTTGATTAAAACGTAATGAATAAATACTCTTTGGGTTTAACCAGGTTTGATTTGACTTTTGTACATTTTTAGAATCAGAGTCTGACGGTATATACACAGTAATCTATGGTCTGACGTTATTGAGCTTACTACTCATGTTCTGAATAACAATTTTTTTTATTTGAGTAAGTTATAATTCCTTATATCTTATAAATTCTCCGCATCACTCGCTATATTTATTTTTTACCGTCCGTGTGATAGCAAAATAAATGTATTACCCGCACCGCAGTAAAAATTTTAAATTTAAAAGTTGCCGCGCTACTCTTGTGCCATCCATTCCGGAGCTTCAAAATCAAATATCGCTGTAAAATATTTTTACCGCACTAAGCGATATTTTATAAGCTACGGAGCTCCACGGGGACGCTGTGCACTGCTCTAAACCTAAGAACTTTTAACATACAATATAAAATAAATAAAAAAATATAAAATATTTTTGACTTTGTTTAAACGTGTGATTCTCTTCATTATTAAATTAATATTTTTACAGTTTAAATCATCCAGTTCGTGATAACAAAAATGTGTGAGTATGAAAACTTCTAAATACATATTGCCATTGAATGAGCTTGCATTTTAAGTTTTTATAGCAAAAAGTAAGCAAAATTATGTATGCATTTTTCAACAGGTGATAGAAAACTAAAAATTCGCCGTCAGTGTCATTCAACAACTCAGTCACACAAAGAATCAACTTATTCTGGAAGTTATCCGAAATCAGACACTAGTATTGATCCCAATAGACTAAAAGAAGGCAAAAATAATTTAAAAGATCAGGGATGTTTTGATCCTAAAAATCCGTCTAAAGAGTATTACAAAAAGTATGAACATGATGAGCTGCCTGTAAAAGATAACGGCATACTTGATAATTTTAACAATGGTTGTTCAGGAAAAGGTGATGAGGATATTAACTCTATCAAAGAGTTTGATTTAGATCAACTGGAAATTAAAATATACAGTAATATCTCTGAAGAATTGCAGACAGACAGCAGTTACGTCCCTAGCCTGGAATCAAACATAAAATTCTTTAAAACAACTGTTCAAGAAATTTTCGATAATTTTTACACACATATGAAAGATTTCGAACAGTATAAAAAAAGATTTGAAGAAATCTTATCAAAGAGTAAAGAAGATTCAGTCGCAGAAATGGAAGACTTTATAAAAGATATGATTCAACATATAATGACCTCGGATTCATCGCTTTCTAACTTTGGTAAAAGATTATGTGAACAAAAATCATTTGATAAAGATACAAATATAGCAGTTAAATATGATAATAGCACTGATTCTTACCCACCTGAATCATTTGAAGGTTTGAACTCCACAATTGAAGCCTACATAAACGATAATTATATGTCTGATTCTATAACCGGCGGTAATTCTAGCATGAAGTCTGAGAGGAGAAACATATTTAACGTATATTTTCTTAATCAAAAACGATGTCTTCAATTTAAAATGAAGGATCGAAATATAGTATCAGAAATTAATATGAGAGATTTTAACACGAAAGATGAATTTATAGACGAAATCGCTTCTGCAGAAAATATTAAGAAACTGAAGGCTAAAAACTTATATGTAAAAAGTTTAAACCAACAAAATGATTGTCGTGGAGATGAAAGGAACATACCAGTAAAAATTTCGAAACCCAAGAAAAATATATATTTAAACGAAGACTTTACTACTACTAATGACGTAGGTAAAAATGATTTAAGCCGTTCACTGTTTTTTAAAATTTGTAATTATCTTTGTAAAAAATTACGTAAAGCTATATAAACCTCGACTTTTTCAATAAAACAGTTTTTTTTTCAATAAATTTATTAATGGACTAGACAAAAGTAACTATGCGGACTAAACTATCAGGTTTCACTATGGTCCTCGAAGTTGTCTATGTAATACCACCTAATCCTAGTAATGTGTTTGCACAGCTGCAATGCAAATTCTTTCTTCATGTGCAAGAAATCCCTAATGATTGGTAAGTCTAACATTATGAATGCCTGTCCATCAATTTCTTCTTGTTTCATTTTTTCGGCTATGAGCTTACAGTCTTCTGTGCTACTTAAATATGTATAAACATCGTCTACACTCCAGTCCAGAGGATTCGGGGCGAGTTTATTTTTGCACTTTATCCATGACGTGGCTGTCTCTTTTTCGAACATTTTATTATCAGATGGTAGAGGATCATATGAATTGAATTTCAGTTTCTTCAACTCAGGTTCCTCGGAATCCGATACATCAGAAATATTTTTGACATCTCTCGAGTTACAGCTACTTTCGTTGGTGTCGTTTTCTGTGTCGCTGTCCTGACAATTTTGTTTCTTGGTTACGCAAGAGTTGCTATAGATTGTTTCAACATCTTTCCTATTCCAATGCGCTTCCTTCATTTGAAGTGCGAAGTTAGGGAGTTTGGCTCCTCGCGTTTTCATTTCCATTTTTGGGTAACTGCTTTTAGCTTCACGTTTCCTCCTATTGCTTCTTTTATAATCAGTCATGCTGTCTGGAGAGTTTGGTCTAGTTCCAGATTCAGACGGCGGTGTGGAACCTGCGCTATGTTCGCTCTCAACCGACTCTCCGTCTCTATTACCTTCGCTTTCTTGCGACGGTTGATGTTCTTTCTCGCGTTTTTCCGGAGCAGTTTTTTTCTTTTTCTTCCTACCATTTAAGCTACCTTTCGGTCTGCCACGACGTTCCGTACCATTATCTGTAACATCGAAAGATCATTAATAGAGCAATAATCATTATGTTATAAGTATTGAAAAGTTGTCTTAAATTTTAGGTCATTTGTTTTTTAATATTTTTAAGCTGAAGTTTTGGCATTATCGCTATAATAATTTTAAATATAACAGATCCAAAAATATCTGGTATTGGGATAGCGACAATTGAGTCTATGTGATAGTTAGTAATTACTGTAACCCAGGGTCATCTCGCAATGAACTAAACAAAAAAAACAACTAAAGGTGGCTTTTGCAAAGTCCTTCGAACTGGAACACAGCAGCAACAACAGCAGCAGGTAGTGTAAAGTTACAACCGAGTGTGAAGTGTAAAGTACGCTAATCACAGAAGGTGGACTTCTCGACTTGCTGGCAGCTGTTAGGGCAGGCGTGCGGGAACTCGCTAGGTCTGAACAGGCTGGGGCACGGAATTTTAGACCTACAAGTGAAGTGTAAATCGCGCTACTCACGGAATGTGGACTTCTCGACTTTTTGGCGGTTGTTGGGGAAGACGTGCGGGAACTAGCTGGGTCCAAACAGGCTGGGGCAGGGAGTGTTAGACCTACAAGTGAAGTGTAAAGTGCGCTTCTCACGGAAGGTGGATTTCTCGACTTGCTGACAGTTGTTGGGGCAGGCGTACGGGAACTTGCTGGGTCCGAACAGGCTGGGGCAGGGAGTGTTAGACCTACAAGTGAAGTGTAAAGTGCGCTTCTCACGGAAGGTGGATTTCTCGACTTGCTGGCAGTTGTTGGGGCAGGCGTACGGGAACTTGCTGGGTCCGAACAGGCTGGGGCAGGGAGTGTTAGACCTACAAGTGAAGTGTAAAGTGCGCTAATCACGGAAGGTGGACTTCTCGACTTGCTGGCAGTTGTTTGGGCAGGCGTGCGGGAACTCGTTGGGTCCGAACAGGCCGGGGCAGGGAGTGTTAGACCTACAAGTGAAGTGTAGTGCGCTACTCACGGAAGGTGGACTTCTCGACTTGCTGGCAGTTGTTGGGGCAGGCGTGCGGGAACTCGCTGGGTCCGAACAGGCTGGGGCAGGCCTGCAGGCGCACGCACACCGCGCGGCAGAACGCCGCCACGCGCTCTCGGTCCTTCACGATCGCCACGTACGCGTGATACGTACTCGTCTTCAGTCTGAACGAAACGATAAAACACCAGGTAAAGTAAGAGGATTTCCATATCTTATCTCTGGAGTGTAGGTCTCTTCTTGTTTAAAGTGGTTTCTTGAACATAGAAGAGTCCGACGTACTGCTCCAATAGTGTGTGCTCTTTATTCTTTTATTTTAATGATATTATGTGCTTAAGTTGGGATTTAATTTTATTAAATATAATCCCAAGCATATAGTAGCACTCAGCCATCTCCTTTATTGAAATTAGGATGTTTTTTGATTTCAATAGCCTCGTGAATCATCTTTCGAAGGAATCGGTGTTCTTTAGCGAGGATTTGTAGCCAGATCTGATGTAGTGACAGGGGCGATCATGTACATATTACATGTACAAACTACAGACTTCCAAACTATATACATAAAGTTTTTTATTATTTGTTGAAAGCCCTGGGTAACCACGAAAAATTGCCCGTGACGTAGGAAGGGAAAAAGATGCAAAGCAATACGGACACTAGCACGCAGCGATAAAGTTTAATTTAGCTTACGTGCATGATTTATCTAATTGATAATAATTATGTAGGATATTAAAATCTCGGCAAGTAGTCAACATCAAAGGAGTGCAACTTCTGTACATAGTAACTATTATCTAATCTGTGCTCAAGGTTGCACTTTGCTCATCAATGAATGAAGCTAAACACCGATGAATTATAACTATTACAGAATATCGTACTAAAAATACCAAGGGGTGAGGGGATAAATAGGTGGGAGAATATCAAGATTTATTTGGGAAGAAACTTAGATAAACAGTTTCACATCAGAAAAAAATGATAATAGTGTCTACAAAAGTCATTTAATATCCAGCTAGATAATATCTCATATTCTTATATTTATTAAAAAAAAATTGTGTTGTGAGCAACAAAATAATAACTTCAAAGGAGAAATGACAATATATACTATACATACATACATGACAGATAGTTTGGCGTATGATTACAGTCTGATACGCACACATTATCAACTAATTACATCTATGCTATAATTGTACATATTTTGGACATCAATATTGCCATTAAATTACATATACTCACTTTGCCCGCAGTAGCTCCAGTTTCATGCCTTCCTCAGGCGGCCCCTCAGTCTCCCAATCTTTTAATATCTTCGCCGGCTTATATGAAGCTGAAATGATCTTGTTCAAGACCTCCTTCAATACTAGAGTCAATGGACCGGGGCCCACGTGCTTCGGTAACTGCGACAGTTTGTTCCGGCTTATGGATGGCCCAGCATAGCATTTGTAATTGAAATATATCCGATCACACCATTCATTAGAATTCGTTATATCTTCCTTCACAATCTTTACTTCTTCAGTCTTTTGCGGCTCCTTATTTGTAGTGTCGGGTATATGCAATTCATAATTGTTCGTATCGCACCAGCCCACAGGGAATAATAGGTCACTGGTCTGCGCATACCAAAACTTCTCCCCGATCGGTATCAACTCAACGCACATCATATGCTCTACGATTGAAGTTATTGTAGCCACATGTATCTCTTCATGGTTCAAAGGATTTACCGCTTCTAGTTTCATGTTTACTTCTATACCCTTCAAGGGTTCTTTGTGCCCAAAGCAGTAGTCCGGTGCCGGCACTGAAGACGTCATGGATAGATACTCGTCCCAATCGAAAGGGCCGTCTTTCCAGACTTTGGGCTGCTTAAAAGCGAAGGAATGTTTCTGAGCCCATCCTATTGGAAAGATGTATGGGTGCATGTTATCACAGAGCCACGCCATTTTTGTGTCTTCATAGTCATCCAAATTGTCGTCTATGACTACGAGGAAGTGGAGGTTGTTGAAGACAGTGGCGACTGTGGCAGGCCGGATAGATTTCATGTCATTCGGACTGAGCGCTTCCAGTTTCATGCCGCTGACGAAGCTATGTGCTTCTTGGGTGGGGGTTGGCTGCAATTATAACAAAATAAATTAAAAAACAAACGAAGGCAGGAAGAGCACAACAGTCTACTATGACTTGCCCGTAGACTGATACTAATTACCATCCAATGTAAGTAACGTAACCAATATGCCTAAATGAATATCTTAGTGGTAGAACTATTACAACCTCACTAAATAACATAATTACAAAAAAATCGTTTATCCGCGTATATATTATTTACTACTACTTAATGATTTCTTATATTTACGCGAATACTACATATGAAGTAAAGTTACAGCCTATAACTGTCCCACTGCTGGGCACAGGCCTCCCCTAATTTCTGAGAGGGTTTTAGGGCAAGGAAGTGTCCGCCGGGCTGCCCCAATGCGTGTTGGCGAACTTCACATGTCTTCATGCAGGTGTCCTCAGATGTTTTGCTTCACCGCCGAGCACGTGGTAAATCAGCACATAAAATTGCAATTAACAATTTCATTGGTGTCGGCGGTGATCGAACCCGGGTTACTCTGTTATATTTACAGCGGGCGTTAACCATCTGAGCTACCACTGCTCGATACTTCACATGAAATAAAGCTAATTTTACAGATTTATCATGTTAAATTTAACTTTTTTAATTCCAGACCTTTCGGACACTTTCCAGAGCCCAAGGTCACAGGGAAGGGGGGGGGTTTGAGATGTTTGAGGTTCTGATGTCATAGGTAACAAAGGCAACCTTCAACTTTTAATTATTAATTTTTAGTCCGATCTATGTAGAACGAGATTACAGTATCTTTAAACGTCGGAAACTAAAAAAAGTTAAAATTAAACGCGATAAAATCCGTAATATAATATATCTAAAATATATAAAATTCACAATTAGTTTTATTCCATTTACAACTACTTACTTATTTCATCAATCTATAATTGTTTCATATATTATTTTGTTTCATCAGTGTTTACCATCTATAAAAAAGATTCTCGTATATGAAACAATACATTATAGTATACATTTGCATGTTTAATTGCAAGGATAGTAGAAAAATGATGGCGTTTTGTGACAAAGTCGTAAATCTTTCTTATTTTTCGGTATCAGTACGTCGTTTTTACATTTGCTTTTGTTCTCTACCGATTAGGCACCCATAAACATAAATTCGTAACATTCAATTTCAGTACAAAGATCTGGAAACTGACTTATGGACTGTATATCCTTTCCGAAAAATGAGCCCAAATCTCTAGGGGTAGTAGCATTCAACTGTACAACAGAATCCTCTGCGTCCATCAACATTAAAGTTGTCAAATTTGATGCATATGGTAAATTGCAAAGACCGCTTAGCAATACCACACCTATAAGTTAACAAGTAGTTAAAAAATATAGGATTTTCCACCTGAAAGAGATCTGCTGGAGTTGGTTCCTTAATAGACTCCTCGGCGCTTTGTCGCAGTTGTGCGCTCAACTTGTTCTTGCATGAAAACTTGTTCACCTTGCCTGGGTACTTGAACTGCCATGGAGAGCCCTGCAAAGAATATCTACAGTGTTATCAAAAATAGACTGCGTAGCATGAATAGAGATCCCTAAAGGAGTAGCAGTAGAGTTTTAAGTGTTAACCTATAATACAGATCTTTGCGCTCTTTTTAAACCGACTTCAAAAAAAGAGGAGGTACTCAATTCAACTATATGTATTATTTTTATTTATATCTGTTACCTTAGAACTTTTTGTGGGGTGAATCGATTTTGATGATTCTTTTTTATTTGAAAGCTGGTGCTTCTCATGTGGTCCCATATGAATTTGATCGAGATCTAACCAGTAGAGTTGTCTTTAATAATGCGTATTTAATTGACTTCGACGGCAGTGATGATGTTCTTATATTATTTCTATTAAAGTCGGTTGTACAAAATTTTTAATTGTATCACTTGTACTTTAAACAGACAACTTCTTCCAAACTAAAATACAAATGTTTATTAAAGATTGTAACAAAGCATAATAGACTATTTTAAAACTTTTGTATCTTCTACATGAGATAGGTTTTAAAATACAAAAATAATGAGCTTACGGATACAATGATATCTATTTACCCCTGACTCAAAAAGTCGATAAGTTTACTATAGAGACTTACTAAGGAATCTATACAGTGCCAAATATTTTTGCTAAATCGAGAACATAACGAGGCATCTCTTAAAATCAAATTACCTTGTTTGTGACATAGCCGAAGCTGCTAAGACGCGGGTTGGAGAAAAATATCCAGAACGGTTGCAGGCCATCGTCGGCGCCGTCGTACCGCAGCAACAATCGACCGCCTACATTCTCACTCACCTGGAAATTGTATAATTTTGTTGATCACATCACAGTTAATTACAGACGTCCCTAAGTACAGCAGTACTTATTTGCAACGTGATGCTCTTTTATACTTCTAATATTTACGATAAGAAATTAGGTGCATATCAAATTTGATACCTATAGACTTTTGAGATGATTCAGATATTACCGGAGCCGTAATACGAAAAATGGGTATATATCCCTCCAAAGGGAGCAGAGCACGTTATGAGCTACTGCCGTTGAGCCTGCGATAGTGTTTGAAAGCGTTCCTGTAACCCCAATAAGGTGTGCACGACGAACGCTGTATGGTTGTTAAGACGATAGGACTCTAATATAACCTCTTTGTAACATTATGCTTCGTAAAAATATCAAATGTGAATATGTGTGATTGAATTGATATTTTGAAAATATTTTAAAATATCTACGAGTCAGAAAATATTATTTTCGTAGGTATTTTAAAATACCGTGTTTTTCAAGCACAGATTACCTTCTAATAGATTCCGCATACAGGGCCACAAACGCGCGCAACACATACTTGCTGTAGCTAGCATATGAAGTGACGCTAAGAATCACGATATCGTTGTCGACCAAGTTTGTGACCCGTAGGCACGTCCGAGTTTTTGAAAATTTAAAAATAGTTTTGTATCCAAAATACATTACAAATGGCTTCCTATGCAGTGAAATGGTGTGGCAAGTCAGCTAAGACATTCAGTTATCAAAAAGATGGCATAATATTTCATCGGCAAGTAAATTTTATTCTTATCACGTTAACCTATTTCAAATGCACCGGAGTTCAACTTACACTGGATATATATAATGTTGCAAAGTGATATCATTTGAGCACCCGTTGATGTCTTTCATTCATTACGTAAATTAAAATAGTTGTCTTTGTCTAACGACAGCACGTGTATCGATAGTGTTGTGATTTATAAGTCGATATTTGTTTGGTCACCGTTTACTTTTGTAGTCATTATTTTATACAAATAGTGGCGTATAATCGTGGTACCTATATGCTATAGGTTTCTAAAAGCCCCGAAAGGAAAAATGTGGATCGACGCTACTTGTCGAGGGACCAATGGTTTCCCACCAAAAATTGTGTGCTATGCTCAAGACACTTCACAGAAGACAATCTTCATATTATGAAAAACCGTAGAAGGCTGTTGGATTCCGCTAAACCATCTCTATACTTGCCAGTTTTAGTGTGGACTTTTACATTTTTTAAAAAGTATAATACCAATGGTGATTACACAATAAGTAATAGCATTAAGTGGTTAATTGAAACGTGATATTCTAATATTTAGGCGAATGTTACACGTCGAAATTAAACTATTTTTAACGGATTTATAAACAATAAAATAAGTGAAAGTTATAATGTGATAATGTTATTCTAGTGTTGCATGAACTTCAGTAATATCTTATTAGTATTATTATTAAGTACATCTAAATTTGAAACACGTATCATATGGTTTTTTAATTAATAATATTACTTTTAGGTGCAACGCTACGCAAAAATACTGTCACCACCGAAAGGACATACCAGAACACACACAAAGGATTCACATCATTTTGTTAGTGAAATAAAAGACTTACATCTCGCTGATAATGAAACTGTGGTCAGTTTTGGTGTTCAGTCACTATTCACATGCCTACCTATTGAGAACTGCTTCTCAATTGTAACTGGGAAGCTACAAGTAAACAACATGCCTGCAGAATATGCAGTATTACTCACACACTGCTTCACATCTGGCTCACATCAATTGTAGAAGGAAGAGTTCTACAAGCAAGTTGATGGTTTGGCGATGGGCTCACCTGTATTTCCTATAGTCGCCGACATATATCATGGAGGACTTTGAGGAGAAACCCTTCTTACTGCTCCTATAAATCCAAGATTCTACAAGCGGTCCGTAGACGACACTTTCAAAATTTTACCTTCTGACAAAGCAACTGCATTTTTAGATGACCTTAACTCCGTAAGTACAAATCACGATGGAGTTAGAAGCAAATAATACTTTAGCTTTCCTAGATGTTTTAGTCATCCGAAATCCTGATAACACTCTTGGTCATACTATGTATAGAAAAAAGGCCTATACCAACCGATCTTTAAATGGTGAATCTCACCATCATTCTTCATAGTTTGCTACTGTGGGTAAATATTTTTTCAGAGAGCACAAGGGATCTGTGACAGAATAAATCTGGCCGCCGAGCTTCAGCATGTCAAGCAAGTATTGCAAGATAACAAGCTTTGGGTCCCAAGCCTACGTCACAGCGACCGAGTGAAGCCGGCGACAGTCGGTGGATGGATGCTGCCACCTACTTGGGATCCTATAATTAACAAAATCTATCCAAAACCAATCATACCACTGCAAGACTTCAAGATACTGTAAGCTCGTTTTATGTAGAACGGGACCAAAAATCAATATTCAAAAACTGAAGATAGCCGGACTAACTATGATATTGAGATGTCAAACATTTCAGTTCCCTCCCTCTCCCCCGTGACCATAAGTTAATTAAACGCGATAAAATCCATATAATTATTTAGTTTTATTCAATGTGTAGTGTTCGCGTAAATTTAAGAAATCATTAGATTACATGTACAAATATATGTACATGTAATCTAATGATTTCTTAAATTTACGTGAACGAGCTTCAGCATACAAAATGCCATAAACTACAAAAGAAAAAATTTTTTCCGGTTTCGCTAGTTTGAGTTAAGACGTGTTTGGAAAGCTTTCTTTATAATTATTGTTGATTTTGTTTGTTAATATTTTTGTATAAAATATTTGCATGCTATTGAGATGTAAGTAAGCATTTTTAACATTTTCGTTTGTCTGTTTGTCCGAGTTAATAATCTTCGGAATGTTTGAACCGATTAGAATAAAACTTTAGAAACTTTTTAAAACTTTAGAAATTTTATTAAAATAGAAATATTGATAAAACAAAATAAATGGTCTTTAATGATTATCTTAAGTCTAAATAACGCCACATTAATAGATCCCACCTAGGCGAAGTCAGAGCGGGTCTCTAGTTACGAATATTATTTTAAAATTAACGTACTACTGCTTGCGTAAACAATACTTTTCCAATATTTTTCCAATAGGAGAAAATTTACAATTATCATGTAGTAATTAGCTATTTGTATTGAGCATGTTGACGGTAAGTGCTTGATGAGTCGCCATTTCTAATCCCATTCTTTATTCGTACGAAATGTACTAACCTGTAATGTAACGTGGGTGTCGTAAAGGCGACAGAGGGAAACTAAAACAAAAGATGGGCAGCAGCATCTTCTTGATAACAATTCAAAATAATTCAAAAACGACGACGATTCGACGACTCCGTGGCGCAGTGGCTTAGCGCTGGAGGTCACGGGTTCGAATCCCGCACGGAACAAGTATTTGTATGGCCTACAAATAATTGTTCCGGGCCTGGATGTTTATCCTTGTGCATTTATGTTTGTGAACTGCCCCCACGATACAGGAGAAAAACCTAGTGTAGGGGTAACGTTTTTTTATAAAAAAAAACCAGCGCGTGCCTACCCGTATGCCAAGCGTGACAACTATGGTGATTATACCCACTACGAGGCAATCTATGGGGATGCCAATGTTCAGCAATGGACTTTAATAGGCTGTAATGGGCGGATGGACATTGTATTTTAAAATGCGTCCGGTGAGAATCGTCCCCTAAACGCAGTTACGTTATAACATTATCTATTAACTTAAAAAAAAAATACAATTAAAAAACCGACTAACTGTGGCAATCCAATATCGGTAAGGGTCGATGACGTTCTGAATCTCTACTTTCATTCCGACCTTTATCCTGTCGATTGGGGACATGCCTTTATTGTTCAAGGCTTCGATGGACACGGACTGTCCGACAAGCAGTGCCTTCTTCATGATTTCTATAATCGTGTCGCCGCATTTCTCATTGATTTCATCGGGCGGCTCCACCAGCTCGTCGTACTTCCCACACCAACCTAACGGGTGCACTTTGGTGTTCGATATGTCGCACCAGAAATCTGTGTCAGCCCCGATGAATTTGATTCGAAGAAGGTGACCGCAAACCATTGTAATTTCAGCTATCCAATAGACATCTGGATTGGTTTTATGGCACACCTCGAGAAGCATGCCCTGTTTGATGCCATTATTGAGGCTGGCCTCTACCTGCAACAAAATAATTGAGAAGAGTCCAGGATTTGTGGTTAATGCGAATACTTTTAACTACTTTATATGTGTATATATTATGTTATAAGAGTAACACGCGAGCTAACAGTCTGTCTGATGGTAAATAGCTTCTGCTGCCTACAGAGCATAGTATATATAGAATGGAAAACGATTACAGACCTATCGGTTACTGAAATATGTTCTATAGTGTAAAAACATTAACATATTTTACGCCGAAACGTAGCGTTTCGACTACACCAAACATTCATGTGTACTAGTGAAAGACACACCAATCATTTTGTTGACAGTTACCCTCTGATTAGAATCCTAGTGGACATCAAAAGTATAAAATAAATGAAATAAAAATCGAAATAAAGGTTTTTATTCAAAGTAATCGTAGTAACAATTTTTAATTTTAATTAACATTAGATTATTTTTTACCTCAATCATATTTTGAAGTTGATTATAGTTGTGTAATGATCTCGTTTTCTTTTTTAACATAATCATAGAATCATTATGGATTCAATGGCATTTACTGACAATCTGTTTTGTTCGTTCGTCCATTGAGCCGTCATTAATTTTAGTGTTTAACAAGCACTGAGGAGCAAGGAGCGAGCCGTGCGTGAGCGACGAACTGGCCGACCGGCCGCCGCCTTACCTCTTACCTCTCAGTTGCGCACGTTTCGAAACTTCCGCTGGACGCCCGCGCCACTCAGCTTGGACTAGGGGGTCAAATGCGGGGACAGTCCCGTGTATACAGGACGTTTGGCAACCATAACCATAGTTTACTATTATTTATACTGTGCCATAGTGCATCTTTGTAAAAAGGACCATATGTTTCAACAATCCATAATCTATAGTAAATAAAAATTCAAAAAGTTTACCTCCGAGAAGAGTGATCTACGCACTATAAATCTGATAAGTTTTGTGTGCTTCAGCAATGGTGTGCGCGATTGCCTCGCATCTTTCACATAATATGATAAACTGATTTTAATAAAAGATGCAGACAAAAGTATCCTTCCACACTATACATTCTTGTGTGTAGGACATCGATTCAATAGATATACGTGTGTAGTGTCAAGAAAACCTACGACTAGCCAAAGACAGCGTTACGTGCTTGCTTTGGCTAGTATTTCAACCAAACAAGTTGTAAACACAGGATAAAATGCTAGCTTCGCTTACGTACACATATTTTACGTGATAGAGCCACGTTGCAGCTGTTTTATATCTGAAAGCACAGACGGTTTGACCTTTGAAAACTACCCCCCACCCACATAATATTTAGGCCGCAGCTTCCATATTATATCATAAAGTGTAATGTGTACTCGTTTGTCTGCCTTTACTTGTATAAAAGAAGCATAATATGTTGTAGATGTCTACGTGTCTCTGATACTGCATCTCAATAAGCTTAACTTCGTGTTCCGTCTGGTTACGAAATACAAGTGAGGACCGTGCTTTGTGGCATTCTTTAAGAGTGGCCTAAGTTTAGTAGTGGACTTGTAAGGGGTTTGTGATGATAAGGGTAATGATGATGACGATGAATCTATAGCTTCATGTTCAAAGCATTTTTATTTTTTAAGGGGGGGTATTGCGATTCGTCTGCAGGTCATTATTTAAAGTAATAAAACTCGTTAATAGTTCAATAAAAAATATTTTTTCATTGAACTATTAACGAGTATCGATAGTAAACTCGATAAAAATATAAAATAACACCCAGCTCTGCTCTCATTTCTGTGAGGATATTGGTGGGGGCCGTCCACTGTGCCTACTACCTAAATGCGCGTTGATATACCTCACGTGTCCCCGAAACATTAAATTTCTACATGCGTTTCCTCGCGACTTTTTTCCCTTATCACTGAGCACGTGATAGGTAAATCAGCAAGCAAAAGAATGTCAGTGTTTACAGCAGGGATCGATCTAGGCTGCTGCGTATTTAATTTAAAACGAGCGAGTAGTCCCTGAACTACTGCGGCTTTGTAATATTTAATATTAGTTGCAGGCATGAAAGTAACTTGCGCTTTAATAACATTCCAAATATTAACCAGACATCCCCTCCCATCATTTCACATTTACATTTAAATAATTGGGGTTTACAGCATTTAAAATTTCGAAACGTGATTTATAAAATACCTATTATATTTTTAGACTACGTTTTAGCTCTTATATTTATTTCATTATTGACTTTCCTGAACGTCATATTAAAAGCGTCGACACCCCCACACCCATCTCCCATAGAGACCTTCTCCCACCCTTCTCCCGTCTCGCCCACATAGCTCGCTATCGTATTGACAAAATAATAACGACAATATATTTTCTCGGTACTTTCCTCCTTACAATGTCATTTTTAAAATATGGATGCATTTCAAAATTTTCATAAATCAATACATCAGTCATGTATTGATTTATGAAAATTTTGTAAGTGTGAAATGTAGTAAGTAACATGGCAATTATAATACTTTTAAAATTTTGTAGGTAAGATAATAGAGAGAAATACCTAAGTATGTAAATATTTTGTAAGCCTTCGCAGATTGTGTTAGGTCTAGGGTTGCTGGATGCCAGGCTTCAGTACGACATTTGGTTCTTTACGATTGTACCTGGCCAAAATTTACAAGTCAGGTCTGAACATCACGTAAGACTTTTTGTAAATGAAAATGTAGCGATTCGACTTCAGATACAAGTTTGTTCCGGTACTCGAAGATGTGCCCATAAAAACATTGGCACTGCCGGTATAAAAAGTATAAACAGCGCTGTCATCCACATAGCAATGAATGTTGCTGCTTTGCAACATATCGTTAATATGCATGAGAAAAAGCGTAAGTGACAGTCTTGTGGAATACCAGCATTAGTATGCTTGTAGTCGGATCATGAACTGTCTATTACGACCTTGATGCTCCGATCTGCAAGAAAACTGGTGATCCAATCGTACAATTTCTCGGGAAGTCCATAGGAAGGAAGCTTCGAAATTAGCACATTGGGCCACTAAAGAACTAAGACTTGAGAAACGACTAAGGCTCCCTAAGCGTGAGTCTAGCGAGGGCGAGGGCAGTTTTCAGGTAGCACTTCACGCTAGTACGTGGCGCTCAACCATTGATAACACGGCGAGTGTAACCTCACTACACACTAGGCTAACTCAATTATCAAAAAAGCATGAGACACCACTGTGGCTGAGGCTGCTGACAAATGAGTCTGGCGAGGCTAGTTTTATGGCACTTCATGCTCGTAAAAGGAGCTCGACGTGTGATTACAGGGCGGGCAAAACTTATCTTCACACGCTCGGCTAGCTCAATTGTCAACAAAGAATGAGACACGACTGAGGCTCGCGTAGCGTGAGTCTGGTGAGGCCAGTTTTATGGTAGCACTTCAGTTTCACAACACTTGCTCGTACAAGGCGTTCGGTAAGTGGTTACGTCGGCGAAATGCGATGCAAGGCGGCTAAGCTCAATAGCCACCAACACTTTGAAGATGGCAGTTAATTTGCAAGAAATCGCTGCTGCAACAGCTTCATGTGGATTTGCTTATGAAAATTATGTAGATGTTTAATGTAGATACAAAAAAAATTTGCTAGATGTTTTGGAGCCCAAAAGACCGGGCTCACTTTGGCACAATTCTGAAAAGTACATAATGGTCTCGTGGGACCATTTAGATTTTTCTTCTATATACATTAGATGCCGATGTGGTTTAAAAAAAAATTATCATATCAGCAACCTCCTACATCTGATCTTGTACACTGATTTACGCGAAGGTGTAGAGGGCATAGGTAGGGCAAGGTAGCGAACGCCGCTCGCTACTTTGATCTTTGCACAAAATAACGACACCAAAGCAGACCCTCTTCGCACCCGCGCTTGTCAGCCCTAAAGTTGTTCAAAACGACTAGAAATCAATAGCACGCTACATACTATAAACTATAAATTTCTAGCGAGCTATTAAATACGCTGTTATAAGAAAGCGTGTAAGAGGCCGTTACAGCACGCTAGAGGCCGACAAGCGCGTTAAGTTTTGCAGCACGCTATATCTCGTAGCACGTTACATTACATGTCGCTCATTGGACAGACCGCGTGCTATATAAGAACATTATTTCGTAATGAGTCGCATTTTAGACTAAAATAAAATAAATCGGTAAAGAAAAACCAATGAACGCTCTTTCATACTTTTCAGGCTTACGACTTTCTATAATCATAAAAATATTTTTAAGGCCTGTACTTTTTAAAACGAAATAAAATTAATTATTTTTTATTATAATTGATGTAAACGTTATTTGAACCTTAATGTAAATTATAAATCAAATAAAGGTGTATTTAAAAGTTTATTGATTGTATTTATAAAAATCAACTATTTACATACACTATTATATACACTTTTGTATCTATATTTTATTTACATTTAAAAACATTAGTTAGGCTTCTTTTATAGCAGACAATTATGTCCTTCGATCACTTATAAATATACAGTATACACTAACTAAACAACGTCTAACACTAATTAGGTCACGCGCGATGAATAGCGCGCTACTAGATAAAATTTTCGTCACAGATCCTCTCCCAACAGCGCTGCTGCTAAAACTAGTTGCCGCTAGGAGTGGTCGTTACAAAACGTAACTAGTTACTGAAACTAAGAAATAAACTAAACAAATCTATTCACACAATAGCGGGTAGCGGGTTATTGCAGTGCTACGAAACTATCTATTACATCTATTACAGTATAGTTCATAAAAGATAGCTTGATCTCTGCGACAGCTGTCAGTAAAAATCACGCCTATGAAGTCCTGAATTTCTTAGTAGTACAAACAGTACCTGTCAATGTCATACTTTATGGGCATGCCGACCTAATTAGTGAATAAAGTATGACATTGACAGGTTCTGTCTGTACTACTAAGAAATTCAGGACTTCATAGGCGTGATTTTTACTGACAGCTGTCGCAGAGATCAAGCTATATCTTTTATGAACTATAGATGTTTAACTCAGTA